TCCTTTCTGTAGAGCGGTATTATAAACCAAACATTATTCGCCCGTTCTCGACAGTGGTGGTATTTTTGCTTTAATAAGACAGTTTCATCCACAAGTACGACGACACCTTCTCCCCTGAACAAGGAAGTCCCTCTATTTTCCAGGATGCGATATCCCTGCAGTGCTGGTACCACCGAACTGTTGATACGAGACTAATTATTCAAACTATTATCTTTTTAAAATCATATATATATTTATACAATTGTACAACTTGATGATAACTTTGTTGAAAAGAGAATATTCTCTGAGTCAGCATTACCTGTTAAAATATCCTTCTTTACCTATCACTACCTTTAACCTCATTATTATTTATCATGCTATTTCGTCATGAGTGATTGACTAAACTAAAACATTCCCAGTCCAGGACCCCTGATGTCTTCATATCGTCTACCATCAGTAGTCGTCTGTTATAAACACCTCAATGTGATTGCTTATTTATTATTATTTCCTTTAATTCCTATAGGAACATAGGGCTTCAGCCGCGCGTCTCCATTGCATTCGGTTGACCGCCAACGTTTTCACCCCACTCCAAGTCTGCCCACATGCTTTCATCTCCTCTTCACATGACCTCCTCCAAGTCACCCTCTCACTGACGACCAACTCACCGCTTCCCTCTCGGGTTCCACTCGAGAAATGGCTTGTCTAGTTATGTCACTTGATGGTTTCCTCAGAGTATGTCCAATCCATCTCCATTTATTCCTGTTTATTTGTTTCACAATTGGTTCCTGGTTGGTTTGCTCCCAAATTGCTTATTTATAGGATTATTATTGTACCAGATACTACAAATTCTTATTTATTTTAGTATAAAATTCAATTTCAAGGGTTTTTATGTATTGATTGTACATTAATCCTAATCGATTCCTTCACTATCAGAGAGCATATATGAACATCAGAGTGGAATTATTTCTTCATTTTCTGTATATTCATAAATGTCTAACCTGACGAATTAATTTCATTTGGTATAATCAAGAGTAAGTAGAGTGTAAAATCTGATTAAAGAATGCGACCTTTAGTCAAAAGATTTTCAAATTAAGTATTAATCGTAACGTTCAAATGTATAAAAAAATATATAGTATAATAGTAAAAATTATACTGTATAATCATAAAGGTATAAAAAGGCATAATTTCCGATTCTAAATGTATGAAAATGATGCATATTATGATAATACTTTGGTCTATGCTAAGATTTTACACTTCTTTGAATTAAGTACTTTGTAGAAATTACCTTTGAACTATATAGAATAATTCCTTGGAAATTACAAACAAGTAACTCAGAGTATTAATTAATTTCAACAGATCCATACTCGAAATGTTCAATTTTTTAGCTTTCTGTTATATGCATAGTTTGTATTGTGGTTCGATTTGTGTATTGTCATAGGTTAATACAAACTGCATCATTCCGGATAGAGTTAAAAGTGTATCGGATAGAAGAATTCGTCAAGAACAGCCTCTTTTCGTGGGAAACAAGTCATGCGTGGATTAGTTCGTAACATCAGGAAAAGCATTCCCAACATCTGTCTTTACTAGATTCTGAAGATCAAATAATCAGCCAAGAAGGATAAGTTATTCCAGGTGAATACTATCCATGATTAAACCAACATTTAAATCAATTTAATCTAGACAGATTCAGGGAAGAACTCGTAAAGAACCCATGACACCATTGTGACAGATACCTAGTAAAACTATTTAGCTATAGACTGTGTGAAATAGCAGATAGTATGACCACTTTTAAATAGGCTGGCCTGTTTGAGAAAAAAAGGGAACAAGAATAAACAATACGACTGAAATTAACCAAAAATCTCATTATTGTGTTGACTTATTGATTTGGAGTAGTGAGTTAGATACACAATCAGTGAATAATGTAGGTAATACTGGAGTGCCATACTCACTCACTTATTGAGTATCAAGAATTCTAAACTTCTGCAATTAGAAATATCTATCATTTGAAAATCTGAATTCTCACTCGATCTTAAATACTATTTGCTATCAGATATGATTTTTCATGTAAAGTAGTCTTTCCTTTTATATACTGGCGAAAGGTCAGTGGTAAATTGTTTACATTTTTTGGTAATGTTTAGTTCAAACACTTTGAATCATTTATTAACACACTAACATTCAGTCACTAGGTTGGAAGGTGTCTAATTACTGCAGTCTGCGATATGGCACTACAGTCATCCTGGAGTTTTGTTTGCGTAGGATATCAGAGACTTAATCGAAAATGGACAACCTCTCAATATTACTTTGATTTTCAAAACTTCTTTAGCTTTAAAAGTCAATCTGAAGGAAGAATATTCTTTTCAATAATTTCTCTCCTTCAGGTTCTTACGATTATAAAATATAATATTTGTTGTCCTTACAATGATGACCAGTTATGTGGCGGATACGTAGAATAACAGATGAGTTATGGGGTGTCAAAATAAACAGTCGTATTTGTGTGACTAACGTACTCTGGGCTGAAATCGATCACAAAATATTGTAAAATGGGAGACAATTGGAGGGAGATACTCCAGCAGAGATTCTATCGCAACGTTTAACCAGGGCGATGAAGAAAACTTTCTACTCTCCACGTCTGTGTGTATCCTTCAGTAGCCGTCCAATGTTCATCCAACAACTCAAAGATGTCTTATCTAACATCAGCTCTTCTTCATCCATATACCATTTCAACTGTTCCTGTGGTTCAAGTTATATAGGGCTCACGACCAGGCGGGTTCGTTTACGGGTTTGAGAACATTTACCGGCTTGGTTCAGTAGGGGAAATTAAGTGCATAAAAAGCTTGATTCTGTCACACTTGGTCGATACTGGACATCTCATCGATGTCAACACAGCTTTCAGGGTTATATACCGAATTCTGAAGTCGTTATCATGTACAGTTCACTTACGTCTGCTACACATAGCTGAAACTGTTGCAATAAGATCGACTTAACCGGAACTTTGTATCCAAAAAGAACACGCCCAGATCCTGTTACTACATGGCCAAAATTGGATTGATGATTCTTCTTCTCACTAAGAGTGCTTCTTCCCCTTAACCCTTTTGGTTTTTTCCCTTAGCTTGTTATTACAATTATTCGTCATAATTTATACCCTTCATGCAAAGATTCCCTCAATACTATCGAATTTTTCACTTATACTATACGGACTTATGATTAGTGATATTATCTCTTTTCTCAATATATATGCCTCCACCTATTTCATTTCACATATTCGTTATTTCATGATGAACCTCTCCTTGCAGTCTTACTATCTCCTGTTTAACACAGACCACGTTGTACTAGCCACTCACCTGACACCTTTTATAACCTTGAACTGACTCGTCAGTTTTCCTACCCCACGCTGTACAAATCTATGATAACTGATCACCACCACTGTCTCCCATTTCACAACATTTTGTAATCGATTTCAACCCAGAGAACGTTTGTCACACAAATACGACTATTTATTTTGACACCCCATCACTCATCTGTTATTCTACGTATCCGCCACATAACTGGCCATCATTGTAAGGACAACAAATATTATGTATTATAATTGTAAGAACCTGTAGAGAAATTATTAAAAAGAATATTCTTCCTTCAGAATGACTTTTAATGCATGATATGGGAATATTTCACACTATTGATTCTTTAGCCTTCACTTATTGGTCACAAAGTAGTTTAAATTATCTGAAATGCTACAAGAATAGGAGCTGTATTAGAAATCTACTTTCATCGGTGAGTATAAATGAAATCATTGGCTTGGCAATGTTATACAAGTGGTACTCGCTGGTATGAACAGTTAGTCTCACTGAAATAAACTGCTCAAAATGCATTACTGACTAGCTATATACGCAACAAACGACATTGTCTACATACCTAAAAATAAAGAGTACCAGTCACCTTTCCGCGTCGGTGGCATAACGGTTAGGACGCTTGCTGACCATGCACATAATCCGGGGCCCGACCCCCAACCTCGCTAAGCCAGTAGTAAGACTGGTAAAGAGGGAAGGTTGAGCATGAGGCAAGCAACCCTATCTCGTAAAAATAAACACCACCGCTACCGAAGCTTCAAGTCTCGAGTTTGAAACCCTATGTTCCACTGGGGAACGTGAAGGAATAAAAAGAATCATCCGTTTAACTTAGCCTCCGTTTCTTATAGTATTCAATAGAAGAGTCTTCTCTAAGGGCTTACTTTCTTATTTAAATATGGTATGGAATCATTTCACCAAGGAGGATAGTTCAAGTTCTCAATATTTAGTCACTTATCTTTTTCAGTATATTCAATATTCAGTAAATTGCATTTATAAATTATATTTTTTTATGGTTAAAAGTGTAAAACTTTATTGTAGTTAAAAACCATTATATTTATGGTGTGATTTTTAGTGACCTCGAGGGTATTTTAAGGTTAGTTGAACAGATTAAAATAAATGACTATCTATCTTGATATGATTTAAGTGAATCTGACTTGGAAGGTAGACTAAACAAAAATACAGACTAGACTTGAAAACAACTTCAAGGTTAGTGTAAGAAATAATTGTCTTTCTCAAAAAGAACACACAATTGAAACGACTTTCGAAGTGTAAACTTTCCAAATCTAGACTATTGTCAAAAAATAAGAGTGATCGTTTGAGATAAAATTCAAACAGTCAAGTGACTCATATACCTGAGAGTGTATGATTTGACGAAGTATTTTGCCACATATTTAATTATACTACTCACAATTAGTTAGTAGCCCAACACGTAATTGAGTTTTTAATAAGGAAACCTTTCCAAATGTCACTGAGACGAAATAAGTCTGATAGATGAAAAATGGAATCAGCCTCCGTTATTACTACCTTCACCATTTAAGCAACTGATATGAAATATTCAGCATAACAATTAGGTATTTAGCCACTGACAAAACAAATGAATTTTATGCAACATATGATGAAACTTGAAACTCTGGATAATCGTAAATAATAATTTAGTCTGCTTTTTACTAACTTTACCTTTATATGACTTTCATCTGTTGAACTGTTCATTTTACACTGTGTATTGTTATTCTTCTGACTGTCACATTTTGCTTTGTTCTCCGTGAGATTCATAGATTTCTTATTAAGTTTATCTTTTCTTCGACAATTTGTACTTTGTAGATTATTTTTTGACTTGACATCAGAGTGACGGGTGCGTTTATCCTCACAATTTACCATGTTTTCACTCCCTTCATGGTCCAGTGGATTATCACTATCAGTTGATAGAAGAATTGTATCAGATTCAGAATCCGATTTTGTAATTTTAGGAATCATTTTCGCTCTTCTGCATGACTTGAATACTTTAGACCTAAGATGAGGAGAAGAAGAAAGAAAAGTCGTAGAAAATGGGCTACATTCAATGCCAGTACACACCATATATATATATATATATATATATATATATATATTCTTAAGATGTAAAAATGCTTTAAGTCACCTATTCTTATTTCATCATGGAACAAAAACTGTGATTAAGACAGTCTTCAGTTAGACAATTTAATTTTTCAAGAGAAAACCACTGGAAACCTTAGAGTACTGGACAGCCGTCTCGTCCTAGTTCGGTAGTCATCACAGTAAAAATCCACCGGGTGTTGAACCCGTGACCTCCAGATTTCAAGGCATGCTCGTAGACCATGTAGCCATCGGCACCCAATCCAAATATCAATGAATCCTAGCTTACACTAATTCATGAATTTAGCGCGACCAAAAACCGATGTCATCAGCGGGAAATCCATCCTCACTCCCTCCACTGGATAGACCTCACTGGTCACGACTTCTCGCTGGAACTCCAGGAAACTCCGTCCTGTAGTTGGTCACTAGCAAGCATTAGATTAATTTTCAAGAATTTGATTTGTAAGGATCAGATTTGTTTTTTGAGGTTGGAGTTCCTGCCGACGACATTGGTTAACTGTTGCGCTAAAATTACGAACTGGTAAAAGTTAGAATTCATGGGACATTGAATTGGGTCTCAGTGGTTGAATTTAACTTTAAGTTCCTTAGTATCATTATGCATTAAAAGTTTAAAGAAAATGACTAGTTTATTTGCACATAAAATTTATTTTTTACAGTGAGTGTAATTATAGAAAGGATTTGTAGTTAAAGTGTACTATTTTACCTTTTTGACTTCTTTCAAGTAACTTGTTCATGAATGTGAAGCTGATATTGATGTACAGAGTGACAGTGAAAGCTTGATAACTTAACCGTCCAACTCAGAACATGTAACTACAATAATTGAGTAATTTTGGCGAGGTATGCGGCCAAGGGTTATTAATAAACCTAACTTGGGTAAAGGTTTTAGAACAAGTTCTTTGAAAGATTGTTATTTTTTTCAAAGAAACATATTTAAATGAGAGCAAATTACACAGGTTAGCTTTTATTTCTACTGAGATGAAACGTAGTATAGAATAAAGTTGGTCTCCACAGTGTCTAGCCAACTTCCTTGAGATAAAGTGAATATGTGGTTTATGCTACTGGTAAGATTTATCAGTAGTATGTGATATTTATCCACATATATATATATTTGTGTGTGTGTGTATGTTGGTCTCTCTTTCTGTTTGCTCGCTTGGTCTGTGACCATTTCACTTGTATGAACCTGTCTCCTTTAACAATGTATATTCCCCTTATATTATATATAATATGAGTGTTTGTTGACAGTCCGTTGCTTGGTGACATATATCCATATATGTTGGTTGTTGACATGTCTACTATATTTTGCTATGTATATATGGATCGATACTTCATTATAATTAGCCATTCATGTTAAGACTGTCCAATGATTGTTCACACCCTTGTCATATATATATTTCGTTCCCACAATTTGTGTGACTTACACTTGCTTACCACTTTGGTGTGATACCACTTTTACATTCTCCTTGTGTTTGGAAATAGAAGTATGATCGCAAACCTAGTGGTCTTCTGATTTCCGTCTATCTTGCGTCAGGACCATTAAATTCTCGACCAGTCCATAACAATAATTTAGTGACGAGTACATAACAGTATGTATATGTGAAGAGACGTCTATCGGCATAAAAACATGAAATATTAGGAAGATAGATTTGGTGTCACAGAAAGCAAATGATAGAACATTGTAGAGATATTCAGGAGACTTGAAAAGAACAAAAAGAAACACAATATGAAGGATAGAAGTAGCACAACACAGACAATCTGTGCAAATGGTGATTTGAAGATATAGTGTATATAATTTCGCTCTATAGAGATGCCAAATTCCAAATCTCTCGTCTTCTACCTTTACAAACGTATTGAGCCAGTAAAAGATGTGAAATCTTAACCATAAAAATTAACTACACTCAGTGAATAGACTAGTATTATCACTACGAGTAGTTTGTATATTCGATTAATTTTACCCCATCTTACATCAATCTTATATCTTATGTGATAAAATCGCTTAGTTACATAAAACTCTCATTTCTCTGGTGTTTCTGACCACGAAGTTTTGGAAATTATTGCAATCCGTTTACTTTTGAACACTAAACCTGAGGATATAATCTTGTTGACTACTAATACCTAGAACTAACTGTTTGGCATTTTGGTGACTTTTTAACACTAACTCATATCTGTAATTGTATATATTGTTAGATTTATAAGTTGACCCAAGTCAGTGAGTCTACGGTTTTGGTATCATTTTAATTAACTGTGCTTAACTGTATTGCATGTTGTTGTACTGTATTGTTGCTGTCGCCCTCTTTGCTGTGAATTATTTTCCTTTTGCTGGTGTTGTTCTGATTGTTTTATTCCTTGTTTCCCGATTTTAAGGGGAGCAACCCACAGGGACGCTTCCCTCTGAACTTTATCTTAATGTAACAATTCCTTTCTCAGGCGTGAGGCTAGCAACCCCACCCTGTAAACAAAGTTGCTACAGAAACTTCAGCACGATGAATCTCTTTGCGCCAAAAGAAAGAGTCTGTGTGGGGACATGGAACGTCCGCCCCATGTACCAGATTGGCAAAACTGCCCAGATCGCAAACGAGGTGAAAAGATACGGAATCCAAGTACTGGAAATATGTGAAAGCAGATGAAATGGGAATGGACTCACTTAATTGTCAACGGGTGAGTCAGTGAACTTCTCCGGTCACCCAGGAGATAACCACACGCACACTGAGGGCGTGGCTATGATAATGTCACCAACGGCAACAAAGGCCCTGATGCAATGGGAGGCGATCTCGTCCAGGATAACCATCAAGTGACATCACTAGACAAGCCATTGCTCGAGTGGAACCCGAAACGGAAGCGGCGAGTTGGTCGTCAGTGCAAGGGTGACTTGGAGGAGGTCATGTGAAGAGGAAATGAAAGCATGTGGGCAGACTTCAAGCCAGGTGAAAAAGTCGGCAGAAAACCCAACGCAATGGAGACACGCAGCTGAAGCCGTATGTTCCTCTAGGAATTAAAGGATATAATAATAATAGTATCAAATAAATTTATTGAATTATGCAGCAACAACTGCTGCTTACCTCTATTGGACAAAATTCATTTAATCTCACGTAAAGAGAAATATAACCAAAAAATTTCTTTAGAAATATAATCTAACATTTCAGCTCACATGAATTTCTTGTTCTCTGTCACCTTGGATACCCGGTATACAAAAAACCTGTACAGTGTAGATCATACTATTGATTAGTCACTGGGGGGGGGGGGTAACCACTGCCCTGTGACTAGACCTTAGCAGAACTGATTGACTCCATTATAGATAAGATATGATTATGAGCAATAATTCGTGCTCTAAACGTGGTCATCAGTTAATATTACTGGATAACACCACTGTGTGATTTATCAAAATAACATCTTATCCATAATGGAGTTATGCTCTACCAGCACCGTGTCCAAGTTTCATACTTACATTCTTTATTAAGGATTTTGTCAAAACTGGGCTATTTCTTTACTCTTGTATAATTGTATAGCACAACTGTTGGTTTATGTTTGTAATTCTATTTAGACTATATACACACACACACACACACACACACAAATAGTCTTACACAGCTAACCGGTTTTAAATGTGTATCAGATTAAACAATTACTCCTTCTACTAATATTTAAGAGTTTTAATTTTATTCTAAAAGTTGCATAAGCGAAACCTGAAATCAATTTTTTGGTTTGCAAATTCTTTAGGTCAATTTTACGCTGTTATTCTAAAGACTACAATGACTCATTGAGAAATAATTTGATTCAATTATGTATGTATGAGAAAGTAGAAACAGTTGGAGAGGGATTATTTTTATTCCTTTACGTTCCCAGTGGAACATAGGGCGGCTTCAAGCTAGAGCTTTAAAGTTTCAGTAGCAGTGGTGTTTATTTTTATAGCTTGTGAAGTCGCTATCCGGTATTATTACCGGCTCAACGAGGATTAGGAGTGCGTTGGTCGGGGATTGAATGCGTCACCACATGCGTGGTTAGCGAGTATTCTACCGCTGAATCATCGATGAGCTCAAATAGAACAAATATCAAAACCAAAACCTTATATTAGTTGCTTTTACTTTATTAACTTTGATATGGAATATAGTTATTCAAAGCATAATACAGTGCATTTTTAGACTTCCTAACACTTTGTTCAGGAGAATTTGTAAGCAAGGCATTTAGATACAATCTAGCAAGAAGAACTTCAAGTATTTCGAATAACATGGAGGAAACCATCATGAGCTGTGCGTTGGTGGCATAGTGGTTAGGGCTCTCGCCAATCATGCACATGGTCCGAGGTTCAATCCCCTGCCGACGCACACCTGATATCTATGTTCGGCCTGCAAAATTTGGGCTACCGATATCCATGCTGAAAATTGCATACTTGTACCAAAAATACAGTGTGGAATCAAGCTGTAATCAAAAATATAAAAAATAATCAGTTAGAGAACCACTGGAAAACCACCAGAGAGTACTAGACAGCTGTTCCCCCCACTGGTTTTGGACTCTTCATCAGTACGCACCCACCACAATAGGTTAGAACTCAGTACCTTCTGGTTACAAGGCCAGTGAGCTCGGAGACCATTGAAACACTGGGACCCAATCCAATGGCCAGTATACGAATTCAAACTTCTGCCGATTCATTACATAACGCGACCATTTAGCTATGTCTTCTTCGATGAGCTAGTGCGTCATTATCAACTTGTAACCAGAAGGTCCTGGATTCGAACCCTGGAGGTGGCTGCATACTTAGACGGAGGAAACAGCTGTCCAGTACTCCCAGCTGGTTTACCAGTGGTTCTATAACTGATGTCAGCTTATGATGAAATCCTTCATCCAATCAAACAAAATCCATACAAAACCAATACTTGGAAATATTTTGAATAAGTGAAATAAACTTCACCGAATAACTGGGAGAAGTGACAAGGAATCTCGAAAATGACTGTACTAGTATAAGTCCGGATAACACATTCAGTTACTAACACATCAGTCTCCTTTTACAGTAGTTAAGTGAAATATCATGACGGTGAGGACCTTACACTAGAGGTATTCTTTTGATTTATTAATTCCTCATATTTATTGAACTTTAGTAGTAAATAACTATCACATTACTCAAATTGGTTGGGCACACCAGTCATTGAATCACATTAGAAATTTCTGGAAGCCTATCTCAAAGCATTTCATTAGTGTATGTTATTCTGTGTTGCAAATATTTTGAAATATCTTTTTCACAAATCAACATAGGCTACAATGTCAGTGACAAACACTAAACGGTTGTAAAGTGATGAAAATGGGAAAATTTTTTATATTCAATACTTCTGTAGCTGACGCCGCACCATCAAGCAAAACCAAAAGTGTATCATCTGTCTGTCTGTTTTCGACATGGAACTTTGCACCGGTGTGCAGCGGTTCAAGTTGCCATATTCCATGTAGCACACAAAGCAACAGAAGAAAGTAGAAGAAATGCATAATAGAGACAGTAAACAGAGGTGTGAGACAAAGGAATAGTAATAACAAAGAACAATATAGTTTCATTGGAAATCATAAGTCATAAGGAGTGGATGCATCTGTGCTATTGAGAACGATTTTGAGCTATAACACCAATTGTTTCCAGCCATTGGTTTTTACCGTCCCAAGGACCCCAACCAGGAAGTCTACATCTTCCTACGTGGCTTAAACTAACAGTTGTGGATTTCATTGACTGGTGCCATGTTTTATTTTGACTGCCGCTAGCTCTCTTCCAGCCTGACCCCTATGTCCAATGAGAATGCTTCCATCAGCAGTATTGTTACAATACACCAATCTCTTTTTAATAAATCAACATTCATGTGTATTACAAAAAGCAGCTCACTTACTGTGAGTACATTTTTCTCCAGGCTGCAAGTTCTTTCAAAACCAGATCACATTCTTGACGTAAAGATGACTCTTCATTTAAAATGTCATCACATTCTACATTTGTACTAATATTATTCGCCTTTGTAGGAAAAGACTCATTTGCTTCATTTGCCTTTATTTCTGATGAATGATTCTCATTGCAAGGTAAAAGATTTTCAGTTTTTGAAAAAGTAGGAATTGGTTTATTTGTAGCAGTAGCAGTCAGTTGTGCTGAAAACCTTCGGTTTCGTAATGCAGCACTAATACCTCCACAGATAACCTCACCTGTGGTCAGTTCCGAAACACGACCCTCTTCATCTGAAAAAACTATGGAAAAAAATCAAAGAAAGCATAGAACAATCATTCCGCTTCGTGTGGTAGAAATATTTCTTTTAAAAGGTAGAAATGGTTAGAATAAAATGATTTTACAAGGATGACACGTGATTGAAGATGAAGTGATCAGAAATAATAATAATAAAATAATTTGGACAATTATAATTTTTAAATGTTTAGGGGTAGGGGGCGAAGTATTCCGGTCTATACATTCATGTAACGATGGCCAAGGTAAAGAAAGTGGCTGTACAAATTTCTGCTGAACACACAGGTTTGGCTTCTTCAGGTCGATGCCTATTGCTTGTAGAAGACGAACTCGTAGAGCAAAATTAGGATTAGTAGGAATGCGATAAATAATTTTAAATGCAGTATTAACGTCAACCTTATGCTCCTTATCTGCAAGGTGTGTTACAGTAGAGCTATGAATAGATCCTGTTTGTCCCTTGCTTCACCATGCTGGATGATGTTCGGAAATACGATGATGAACCTGCCTAATTGTACCCTCAATGTAGCTGGTTCCGCAGCTGCATTCAAACTGGTAGATACACATAGAAGAGGCAAATTTAGGTAGTTTATCCTTATTTCTCGAACGTAGAATAGGGGTGGTTGTGAAGAGACAACGTACCTCTGCTGCATAATAAGCTCTTTTAACTGCATTCTTCAGGCACTGTATTATTATTTCGCCGATGTTTTCACCGAGGAACTGCAGTTTTATGAACATTAGTTTTTTCGGAACTGTTGCCATACTGACTCTCCTAGGTGCTAAATTAATATTTTTTCTCAATGAATTCATCTGGATAACCATTTTTTCTAAGTAACTCCCTAATAATCTTAAGCTCCTCATTGAAATATCTCTTTATTACATTTATTGGAGCAAATCACACTCAGTAACAGGATCCCCAGCCGAAGTCATCTCTTAATAAACCACTTGATTTAATTTTTGTAAAGATAAAAATAGTCATTCACCATCGTCCAGTTGGCTCTACTTAGTTGACACAAATGTGATACTTTATTACATTTAGACTGCAGGTATTTTGTTATAAACAGGCTCATACAATCAAACTAAAGCGAAATAAGCTATAAAAGATCCCCATTTAGGCATTAATGGAAACACAACACGTAGATCAGCGAGGAGACTCTTTTCGGCGGCGAATTCATTCACGCTTAGCTGTACAGTAGCAAATATATACATATATATATGTGTTATTTTGTATGTATGTGTACATTAAGTTTGTCAAATAAAATTACAATTATTTATGGTTATTTTAACTGAACAGGTGAAGATTGGTAATTGGAGTTACGTAATACAAAATCAGTCAAGAAAATTAGGTGTTAATGAAATTAGGGTAGTAACAAAGGTGGATGAGTTGTCACAAACAGTTGTTAAAACAGAAGTTATGTAATAATAATATGAATAGTTTGATGAGCGAGTTTTACTCAGGATGCATATAGGAACAAAGTAGAGAATACGAAATTACGTAAGAGTTCTGAATGAATACAAGAATTATAAGCAATTAAAGAACAGGTAAAGAAACAAAATTAAGTCATCAAAATCAAATCAAAACAAAAAAAATTGTTACCATTACAGTAGAAGTAGTTGAGTAATCCTCTTTTGTATGCACAGCTCCGGTTTTTCTATGTGAATGGCCAGAGCTTCAGCGATACAAAGAAGATGAAACCGTATTGCATTTGATAGGTTATTCTTGACTCTGTAGATTACTTTGAAGCAGGAGGCGTTTGTTGAAATGGAGGGATTAGTGTTAACCAGGTGTAACTCACTCATCAAACTATTCATATTATTATTACATAACTTCTGTTTTAACAACTGTTTGTGACAACTCATCCACCTTTGTTACTACCCTAATTTCATTAACACCTAATTTTCTTGACTGATTTTGTATTACGTAACTCCAATTACCAATCTTCACCTGTTCAGTTAAAATAACCATAAATAATTGTAATTTTATTTGACAAACTTAATGTACACATACATACAAAATAACACATATATATATGTATATATTTGCTACTGTACAGCTAAGCGTGAATGAATTCGCCGCCGAAAAGAGTCTCCTCGCTGATCTACGTGTTTTGTTTTCCATAAAATATCAGCAAAGCAGAAATACAAATGCTGGGAAAGGATACATGAATATCAAAATCATAATTTTATCAATGAAAGTTATCAAATAAAAATTTTTTTAAATAAATTTTTACTCACCTTCAGCATCCATAATGACTGATGAACTTCTAGAGGCTTGTGTAGTAGGATTATCATTGTCCATCGTGATATGCTGCAAACTGTTTTCTTGATACCTTTGTTTTATTGCTGACGTAGGCCGAAGTCCTAATGATGACCGGCCTGGTTCAATTGTTTCTGCGTTAACAATAGTATCTCGGGACTTGTTTGATCTTATATTACTCTTCTTGATGTTAAAAAAAAAAAGAGGAACAAATAATCTTTTCTGAGAATTTTTTTATGTTTGTATGTATGGTTGCTTTAACTACATGACCTAAGTGTTTTGTTTACAATTCAATTGATTTATGGATCAGTTTCTGTGACGAGCAACTGATACAGTTTATTTCTGTGGTATTATTAATTTCGTCATCCTATATGAACTTTATGAACGAATAAAGGAAAGCAAATATTTTACAGACCCATCAGAAAATAGACACCTAACATAAACTCTGTGACAGTCTTCTGGGATAAATATTCTGATCACTGTTGCTGTTTTCAGTCAAATTACACTGACAGTCTTCACGTCTTCTAGGAATTTTAATAAGTACTCCTCTGACAGACTCCATTTCAAACGAGTGGAACAGCCGTCTGGTATATAAATCACCTAAGTCTGGCTAGCAAGTACAACTGGTTGATATGAGTGGTACAATACTACTTATCTTAGTCAGTCAGTAATATGTAGGGCTTAATACTCAGTATATTAAGTAAAAATTGCTTTACTTTCCAAGTATTGGTTTTGTAGGGATTTTGTTTGATTGGATGGAGGGTTTCATCAGAACCACTGGAAAACCAGCTGGGAGTACTGGACAGATGTTTCCTCCGTCCTAGTTTGGGACTATTCATCAGTATGCAGCCACCTCCAGGGTTCGAACCCAGGACCTTCTGGTTACAAGTCAACCTCGTAGCGGGTTGAAGATGAGGCAGTAACCCATCGAAGAAGACATAGCTAAGTGGTCGCACTATGTCATGAATTGGCAGACGTAAGAATTCACGCACTGACCATTGGATCGGGCCCAAGTGGCTTAATGGTCTCCGAGCTCACTGGCCCTGTAACCAGAAGGTCCTGGGTTCTAACTTATTGTGGTGGGTGCGTACTGATGAAGAGTCCGAAACCAATGAGGGGGAACAGCTGTCTAGTACTCCCTGGTGGTTTTCCAGTGGTTCTCTAACTGATGTCAGCTCATGATGAAATCCTCCATCCAATCAAACAAAATCCCCACAAAACCAATACTTGAGAATTAATCTGATGCTCACTAGCGGCTGGCCCTATTCAGGCAGTTGACCTGGGGTTCTAGTTGGAAGCCGTGACCAGTAGGATACAGCAAGTAGAAGATGAGGCAGTAACTCATCGAAGAAGACATTGCAAAATGCCTTACTTTTCATCTGATTAGCCCACATACAAACGGAGCTTGAAGTGTTCATATTATGGTTTGTGAAAAAGGGGAGTAATATTAAACCCTTACTTTTTTCATGGCTTTCATTCCATATTCCAATATCTGCATTCCGATGTACAGAGTGTAATTTGGTAAACCTCTGTAAGTTGTTTTTTGCTTAGGTTTAAGATGAAAGATCTATCTTTTACAAGGGTTTCGTCTCTGTGGTTCGAAATCAATATCCTGGCTTTTAAGACAAAAGCTATATGAAACAATCACCAGTTTAAGGCTTTGTTAGTAGCTAGCAAAGAAAAGTCACGATATTAAAAACTTTTAAAGTACATGCATGCGTACTTCCGGGAACATTGTTTAAGCGTTCATAAACCCAGTTTTAGAATCTAACAGCTCATTTAGGAATGACATTAACTGAGACTGCTTAAAACACACCTCGGTTACTTTGATCACAGAGTTTTGTCACCACTATACATCATCTAGTTCTACAACCGGTAGGTAACTATCTAAAATACTTTTTATTGAGATGATAAGCGTCGATAGTTAGTGGTCCTATGTAACATTCTGAATTCAGTGGTCACGGTACGCTAAAACCTTGAAATTCTCGGTGATTTTAAGACTTTTATATCTCTTATCTTTCTTCACTAACACATTCTGTCTTACTTAAATATCAGTTAACTTTTATGAATTTCCTCTATAGACTTTTACTTGTCAAAACAACCAATACAATGCAAAGTAAACCCTAGAATTAACTTATTTTACAGGCCAAGTTAGAAATATTTATTAGTTTCAGTGTAATATTTGGCTGGCAGCTAATTAATACATTCAGATACACATGCTACCTATCATCACTGCGTAAAACTACACCGTCTTGAGGAGTTGAATTATTATACGGACCTGTTTAGATAACAAGTCAAGAAATATGTTATAGATAAACAAATGACAAAAATTCTAGTAAATGATCAGTAAGCAATGCGGCTTTTGTGGCCTAAACTCTCTTTTTTCTTAATATTCACAATGTAGATAACAAAAATAAGTTCAAAACCATGATTTGATTTGACCTTCATCAAGAAATCGCCTCAATGAACAGCTAAATACAATGGACGCAGTTTAATTAGTTGGACACAGGCTAATAAAGAAACATACAACAGTTAATTATAGTCTGTTGTATTCCAGCTGTAATCATTCAGTTAAAGTCTTAAATGTGAATTAGTCTTAATTCATTTCTCAGACGTTAAATTCCTGACCATCACTAATAATTTAGCTCTCCAAACTCATGGATAAAGAGAGTTGGAAAACACGGAAGAAAACTTATGCATTCATATTAAAACTAATTTAGCAAGCAGTTCATTAGGTTGGATTCGACTCTCCATATACATGAAGATGTCAAACCATTTGACAACTCTGGCTCTTACTCTTAAACTCTGAGTTGATGCAAGTTATTTTTTCAGTTTCACCTTACACTGCAAAGAATCAAAATACACATCAAAAAGGTACAAACGTTTTACACGAAATAATTTAAGTTAGTTGGTACTTCCTATAATAAAATGTTGATTTCTTAGGGATAAAAATCAAGTACACCATATCATTGTATTTCGAGCAAAATCAAATAAGAAGGGTGGCTGAAATTCAGTTGAATTCGGAACACTAAACACCACATACGAGTGAAACATACACTAATCATCGGGATATGGAAGTAACGTAACTGCTAATCTACATCGATCTCAGGGAAAAATCTATTAACTGGTAAACAGCATAGGCACTTTACCAGTAGAGTTTCCATAATTTGATTAACATAACTATCATTTTTGATTGTTCAAATAGTCAACGTGATATTTTATAATTATAAGCTAGCTCTGTTACAGACAAATTTAGCTGTAATGTTTTTGTTGCAGCTAACCAGCCTATAGGTCATCTTTTATGACAAAAACAGCTATCTGTTTGCGCTAGACTAACCGTCAAATCAGATTTATAAGATACCGAAACGCTGGGAGCAACTTCAGCAAGTTCGAAACCAAAACAGTGTTGGAAGACAATTTAAAATAAAATTTCCTCTTACAAATCGTTAGACTTATCCTTATTTTTGAGAATAATATCAACATTTTTATTGCTGGTATAGATAGGAAAAATGAAACAATCAGCACCTAAGTCTACAAAATACAAAAATGGTATGTCTCATAACAGTTTTTCATCGTCAGAATATAAGCGAAAAACTTAACAGCCTAAAGTCTTGCTAGGAAATACACCATATCACGTTTCTGTATTTCAACGCCGCATAAAAGTAAGGCGAAAATGTAATTTGCATACATGAATGTGAAAAAAAATATCAACCATTGAAATACATCTATGTTACTGTCAATGTTTCTCAAAAATGATATAGTTAATCTGCAACTCATGATATTCTGCATCTTCAGAAACACATCTGGAGAGAAAACGATTTCACATGACTCACACATTTATGCAAATATTTATTGCAACGAATATCAGCTTGAGTTTAGCTATTTTCCCCTATTCAGGTAGTACTGCCTACGGAAGCAAACATTAGACCCACTGATTACATGTTTTACAGGCTTAATTGAATGAAATTCGCAGATTCATGAAAATACTTAAAACGGCGACATAATAACATCTAAAGTATGTGTACAGTTAAGATGAGACAACTTTTCGTCATCTGAAAACGGAAATGAAGTAGGTTATTGAACGGTTTATTTTTTCGGTAGTAATTGAGACAAGGTATGAAATCAGGAAGGTGTTCGATGCTAATGCGAAATTGACTGGTGACAGAAGATATCAAATAGTTTATAAAATAACTTCATGAAAGTAGTAGAGGATATAAAGCCATAAAAACTACAAGATTAATTAAACTGGGTGAACAAATAAACCTGTCTAATAATTAGATCCACTTGATGAGTCACTTGAAAAGTTACAAGTAGTGATATTATAACAGTATAATTGTATTAACTTTGCAGAATGACTCGAGAGTGAACTACTGAAACCATACTCACCTTTGTCACAGATAGTAAACCAATCTCCTTCAGTACAGTATTTATGTATTCCCATTCACTGTCAAACTTAGTAATGTCGTACTCTCCTAAATTTGAGGTTGGATTATTTTGTATTGGGATATCATCAAGTACAGTTATTTGAGGTAGCATTTTCTTCACAATTTTTCTGTACCTCTGGCAGGTCAAAAGATTAAACTATTGCTTACTATTTTTCCACCACACTTGGTAACAAGAGGGTTGCCTTCAAGGGTAATTGTTGTTAGATTGCGACACAAATGAAGATATGACAGACTTGATTTATCTTCTATCAGATTACTATGCTACTTTATCAAAAACACACACATTTACCCCTCTAGATCTATTAATTCGATGATATCCAACATTGCACATGGACTGAGGTCAGAAATTTCATTGAACGCGACATATAACTCCACTAATTTTGTAAAACTTGATATCCCATCAAGGCTAATGAGACAACAGCGTGGCATCCAAGCAACTTCCAAGTTGTTAAGTCCTGTCCCTAAGTCTCTACCTAAAATAAAATCTGACACAGGAACTCACCGAACAGTACGGATATTACTGTTAGACAACCGTAGTTGTTTAAGATTCGGTAAATACACTCCGAAGTTCCCAGCCGCCATACGATCAGTATCAAATTGCATATCCAAGGTAATCACCATTTTTAGATCTTCACACCCTGTTATTTCTCTCTTAAAGACCTATAGAAAACATTATTTCACTTACAAGTCTTTGTCCAGTCAAATAGTCGTCATTTACTTGAGAACCTGTAGAACCTGGGGCTCCTCGATTACATAATGGCCTTGGGTTGACAGATCGGTCGGAAATTTCTGATACCTGTACCACCGCTGACTTTGGACGGATATCATCACTATAAGCAGTAATAAATTTCAAAACAAATTATTTCTCTCATAAGCCAGAAAAACCTTGCGTGAAAATCCGCCATCGCCACTGCGGCTCCCTGCTGATTTCTTTAGTTAAACAGAGTTCAACTGTTTTCAGAAATCATTTGGTCATCCATACTGTGTCAGGTATGAACATGAGCTAAATAATTTACATTAGCAACGCTTTTGAAAAATCGGACAGGAGGTGTGAATTTAAACAATCATCAGTATCCAATATCCAATTTCGTTTTTACGAGGCTGGACTTATTTATCACGCACTGTTGAATTTCCAATTGGAATTTTTTTGCCAATAATTTTTAATAAAATTGTGTTATATCTTATCTGGGTTGATGGAAATTCCCATTTTTTGGCTAGTTATGTTGGTGTCTGCGTCATGTGATCTGACTGCGACACACTTTTAGCATATTGGTTGCAATGGTTAGTGTTTCAGGTGGACTGTCTCAAAATATCGGTGTAATAAGAAAGATAGGATAGTTGGAGGGTAATGCCATTCACACAAATCGTTTACTCCATGTAGAAGCTGCACCTTTCGGCATAGTATCATTCAATGAAGACTTCCTGTTTCAGGATATCAATATAGCCTATTTTCGTGTGAAGAACAGTCTGTTTTGACAAAATAATTCTCTCAGTGCTTGGAAATCACCTGCAGATGCTATCAGAATCATTTGTGAGAACCTAAGTTATCATTTAGATGTGCTTTTCACTCTATCTGTGGTTGGACAGGAATTATGGTGAGTTGAAAGGTTATCTCTAAGTGGATTTCATATATATTGGTACTGATTGGTGCAGTGTGCTATGGGTTATGTGAATTAAATGTACAAAAATATCTCAACTTTAATAATATTGTGCCATTGTCTACTTAGTTGACTGATAAGATAACAAACGAAGGTGGTTGTCACGATTATTGCAAGTACAATGCAGTGGAGAAGGCAATTACTCGTTTAAATTTCCTTCCTGTTCGACTTAATGCATTAATTCATTACATGGTATGATGGTACGTATGAGTCGTGGTGATTATGAGAACTAAATCCATTCAGCTTTACAATCATTAATATGAATTTATTCTCTTTTGCAATATCCACTGACTGTATACTTAATGCTGCAATATTTTTGATCACCAATAGTGGAGATGAATTTATCCTGAGATTTCCATCTACACAAAGCAGTACAGATTTGCTGTGACGATTGGATTTTCTAGGTTGCATTATATGATATTATTATCCTCATCAACACAACTGGTCTGTGTATTTTATAATAGTTTAAGTGTTTCTCTATGTCGTTAACACTGTGCATAGCAGTTTAGAGTTGAGGCATGTTCAGCTTATGTTTAATGGCTATAGTCTCCTAAATAGGAAAATGTGATTTCTGTAGGATTCACAAAACCTTGTGGACTAGACATTACTGAGATTGTGGATTAATTTCCAAGTTACGCACTTGCAATACTTCATTTCATGTAAAAGTGTTTAGTGTGAAGTTGATCTGCAAGTAAGCTTGATGAGAGAATGACGTGCTCAATAGTATGGATGTTTGGGAGATTGTCTTGAAATTTGCGTATAATCCTCTAATACTGAAAAACGTATGATGTCTATTTATGTATACGACGTCAACATAAAAAAATCAGCTGTAGACTACAAATACATTTATCTGCATGAGATATTACTTAGTATTGACAGAATCATTGTATTCATGGTATATGCAAATATGTAGAATTATCTCTTTTAACTTCATGTTATGCTAGTTCTTACATATACTTTATCTTTTCAGGTATACGGAGGTTGCCGAATGTGAAATCAGTGGAAACGTCATTCGGCCAAACTAACGTTAATACCCTTCATGAGAATTTTCTTTTGTAAATTAATCAAATGTTTAATATACTCTCGATTTGTAATTCCTCTGGACTTTTTCAATTCGTTGCTATACTATGTGCTTTTGTAATAAGTGAATTAGGAATTATAAACGTTAAGCTTAGTTAGTGGGATGGTGATTTACTATAGTATTATGAGACTGTTACCGTAGTCATTAATAGGATTTCGTGTCTGTTTCTACACAATAGCACATTGTAAAAGCTAAGTGGGATTTAGCAAGTTGAATAATAACTCTGTACTGTTCGATACTCTAAAGTCACCTTATCTAGCCAGTTGCAAGTCACTATACTGTTAAACGCCAAGTATGTAGTACAATTAAACGTAGTAACTTAGGCTTGATAGCTACTTCACTAATCTGTTAATATGCAGTGACATCATCAAATAGACTATTCACTTGACAATGAACTAAGAAACAATATTTACTTATTTCTAATATGCCGTTGAATCATGCGATGTTATCTAATATCCATCATTTCTATGACCAACAACTGCGGTATTTGCATGTCTACTATATAGATGTTAAATAACTTACGCCTGTATGCATCTAATTACCTCCAGTATTCCCTATTCATTTGATGTGTGTACACTAAACAAGTCTTCCATAAATTCTCCCACAAATGCTAAGGTTTCTGGTGTCACAAGTGTTAATAATAGTTGCTTCCTTGGTTTCAATGCAAATGGCGTATATACGAACTAAGGAAAATTTACTCTTACTTAATCTTCAACCTTCACTTAAAGCCTTTAACGATCTCAAACAATTCTCCTATAAACACAGTAGAAGTACTTTAGATGCAGCTGCAGTCTTGTAATAATAATAATAATAATTGTTTATTTCTGTAACAGAAACCAGCCATTTTTACAGGCATGAACATATGTACACTTATGAAAACTTATAGAATATATAATATGATTTGTTAATTTAGAAATAAGTTGAGTACTGGTAAATGTGAGAGAAACATTTAAAATGAAGTGTACAAATAAGGAAATAGATATAGCGCCAAATCTAAACTGTGACTGAAAAAAAATACATGTCAATTTCACGCGGGAATCATAAATGATTGCGTTAGTTGGAAAGGTAAGTAGCATTTCTGTACGGGTGCTGACGTGATACATAAGAGATGCAGAATAAACAATAATTATCAGAAAATCATTCAGAAAGAGTTTTAAAGTCTATTAAATTTTATATTCACCTGTAAGTACATCATATTTGTGACATTTCCAGTTGTTTATGAGACCCACTTTGAACTTGTCAGCAGATTTTATAATACCGATGATCCCGTTATTCACCAGATGAGCTAGCAATATCGCGAATAAGTAGAGAATTGCAGCGCTGTATCAGTACTTTCGTTGAAAGCAGTACCTTTGAAAAGATAAGAAGACACAAGGAAACCGGCAGACAGGTGCAGAAGTATATAAAAGGTGTTAATAATTCAAAATATATAACAGGCATGGGGTTCATCATCTTTTATTGTTTTTTTTCAAGAAATATTATTTTCCCGATATTTTACAGTCTTTTCTGCGAACAATTAGTCTAAAGTGAAAGACAGGTGATAATTTCACCTACTTACGAGGTTTAAAAGGAGTTAAACACAAAAGTCGGAGTGCGTGAGCTATGTAAAAGAAAAGCGAGGGCCTAGTAATATATGTTTTTCTGAAGTATACAGTTCGGTGTCCTTCTGAATTAGCGGACTCATACCATTTACTTTCATTCGGGAGTTTGCATTTAAACTTCGGCTCTAGGCAATTTTCAACTTCTATTTCTTTTTTTCATTATTTTTTTTAGTTTTTACTTTTTTATTTATTCTCATTTTGCAGAAGCCATCCGAACTCAGGAGCCTTAGCAATAGAGTGCTGTCCCACAGATAAGGGTGGTTCACATATGTCCCCACTATCATATCCGCTGACTAGCAGTCACCACCCTCCCACCTTTTTTGTGCAAGGCCCTGGCGGAATGCTTCATTTTTATTTAAATTATTTATTTTTATTTATTTATTTTTTTAAATTTCTGTTGCAATATGCCACAAACTTTTTGTTTTCCAAATATTGATTCGTCGACTTACTCAAATTTATGGTATGAATGACTACTTTCAGAAGAACATCATGTATATTTCATCTTTTACAGCATTTGTGAGACGAAAAATGTAAGGAAGAAAGGCTATCTGAGTCTTTATTTTAGATATAAACAAATGTAGTTTAGAAAATCAGGGAATAATCGTGCAGCATTGAGCAGATAAGTAGTGGTAAGTTATAATATGTTGTTCTAGAAACTTTGAACATACAGGATTATAGTAATAGAATAGTAAGATAAGTATCATTTTAGATTGTATCACAATATTTTCTCCAGTATAGACAATGGGGCTAAATTCGCTGCACCTTCCTAGACCACACATTTGCTTTCCACTCAGTAAGTAGAGATATTCTGTCAGATAAGCTTGCTGAAACTCAAACTTAGTGTTGGATTGTTAGACGGCTTCATTCTTATTTATCAGGGAGAAAGCAGTACACTGTACGTCAGGGGGAAGTCGTCCATTACCAATTGCATTTTTGTTTCACGAACTAATGCACGAAAGCATACGAAAAGAACTTTTTCAAGTACGCAGACGATCTAACTATTTCAATGTCTGTTAGCTGCCAGCTACACTGTACTAAGATGAACAGCTCTCTATTAGGAGTCAGAAAATGCTCTTAAACTAAATCGCTCGAAATGTCAGACTGTTTTTTCAGCTTCCGATGTAAACGAAAGTTAGGTGAATGTGATAATTCCTATTACCGTTGCAAAATTGATAATAGTGATATGGAAATCAAGTCTGAATTTAAGTATCTCCGACTAATTCATCACAGCGTATTGGCCCTAAATGTATGCCACATGCGGGCATAATGTTTATGAGCTAGGTATGCAAATCAAGGTAAACCCTTGTACGGTACATTCATTATTTATAAAAATAACTCGTACGCAAGAAGTATGGTTTGATCAGTTATACAACGTTTAATACACTTAGACACAATTAACCTATGCTGCTTACTTCTATGACGCATTACCTAAAACTACCTTAATATAGTTTCCACTGAAGGTAAACTCCTATAACTAACACGTTAGTGGGGGACTTAACGTTATGTTTGAATAACGAAGAGCGGTAATTCTGAGAACTTTCTTGGTAAAAAGATAATCCATTAGT